AATCACTATTGAAAAAAAATTTTCGAGTCATCTCTGGACGCTTGGACTCTAGAAACTCTCTTAGAGACCCTAGTATCCCAAGCTCAGCAACTCCATAACTAGAGAACTCTATATGTGGGGAAGCATCTCATCTGATAGAGCATGCGAAGATCTATCGAACCATATATACGCCGTCGGGCGGGAGAAAGGTTTCGTCGAGCACCGGTCATCAGAAAACGAAGAAAAGTTTTTGAAAAATAAATATTTCTTTTTGTCCAATTTATTCGCGATCGCTGTTCCACTGTAAAGCGAGTTAACTACATCACTGATGGAGCTCCTCAGCACTTCAAGAACAATAAATCAATGCTGAATTTAACTTATCACGAAAGTGACTTCGGAATTCCTGCTGTCTGGACCTTTTCCGCGAGAGCTTTATGAATTCGCTTCAACCGATACCAAGATTAATGTCTTTTATCATAGTCGGTAAGATATATGGCTATATTCTGAGTCTACGAATCTGAGCAAACGAATGACTCAAAGACTGTTAATGGTTAGATCCTTCTGTAAAACATTGATGAAAGATTTCATTCCTTTTTAATAGGTTGGATTCACGGAATCCGTAGTTTTCATCAATTCGATCCTCTGGCAGTGAATCGTATCCATTGACGTGAAAGATCCACTAGCTTAGAATCAAAAACACTCACGCTTTAACGCGTTGCTCTCCAGTTTTATTCTTCTTGTCGTGCTTCTAAAACATAGCTTCTCAAATTAGTAAAATATTGACACTGCTTTATTAAACTGATACTATATGCGTATGAATGGAAAATAGCATAGATCCAAAATAGTTGTTCAGCAATTCTTATGAATCACGATCGATTTAGGCAATCCTCGCCGTGCCACTAAGGCATCACTCAACGAAAAACATTTTTTCAGATATTTTTGGTTAAATTGGACAAAAAATATAATTATTTTTCAAAAACTTTTCTTCGTCTTCTGGTGACCCGTTCTCGACGAAACCTTACTCCCGCCCGACGGCGTATATATGGTTCGATAGATCTTCGCATGCTCTATCAGATGAGATGCTTCCCGACAGATAGAGTTCTCTAGTTATGGAGTTGCTGAGCTTGGGATACTAGGGTCTCCAAGAGAGTTTCTAGAGTCCAAGCGTCCAGAGATGACTCGAAAATTTTTTTTCAATAGTGATTCTGAAAACCCTGATGATGAGGAATCCAAATCTATCATCAGAATTTCTAAAGCACAAGGTAGTGCAAAACTATATGTGTTACAAAGAATAACGTACTTTTAAAAAACCGCTCAAAAGGGTACTTGGTATTTGGACTAGAACTCTTCACCAAAGCATCCTATAGCTTTGATCCACGAGCAAAGAAGTCTTGGAATTGATTGTTACACAAGTCCTGGAAGTTTCAAGCGATTTGGAGAGGGTCGGTGTAAACGTGTCACAAAGATTGATGATTTCTGTTTATGAATCTACACTGGATGTTCTTTACGATCTTGATACTTTGCTATTTTTTCGGGCACGTGTAATCACACCAGAAAGAAGAGCAGCAAGTGCATCACCTGATGAAATCCAAAGATCAGATTTTCGTTCGTCGGAGGAAACAATGGAAGGTGAGAAATCGAGTTTTAATCGTTCCATGGCGTTCTTGGTAAATTTCCATCTTGTTACATCTGATGGTGCCAATAAATATGCAGGTACTCCGGTTTGTGGAATAGAAAGGACTGTAAATGGAGGAGGAGGAAACGTTGGTAATGATGATTCTTTGATCAAATCAGGAAAGAAACGACCGGGATTGCGAGACCAACCATCTGGAGTTTTGGTGAAGTCGATGGGTTCGCCTCGACACAGTTCAGCTCAGAGTTCAAGAAAATCGAGAAAACCACGTAGATCAGCAACCTGATGATGTATCGATGAGGCGACAGCGATAGTCCCACAGGAAAACTATTTTCATTAAGGGACATATAATTTAAAACACGTCTTTTAAACGATTTCACATTACTCGAGTTACTTTCACTGCTAATGTGCTTGATAAGGGAGGTAATAACACGACAGTTCGAGGAGACAGATCTTCGGAATCACCAACAAACGGTGTGTCTCTCATTTCAACCAAAAACTGTATGTCAGAGATATTTTCAGCATCTAATGCAATATACACTTCATCATTTTCATCGGTTCGAACAGTTCCTGCTACTGGTGGATACAACTCGAGTGCATCCGCAAGAGAGGATTTCAATTTATCAATCACGTTAGTGATACTGTCGGTCGGAGGACGGTAAAATCGATGGTTGAGAATGTGTATTGGAGGACTGAGAAGATCCAAACCATGAAGTACTATTCTCGATGGTGGAGGTGGACGATTGTATTTCTTTGTTGGATAAATTGTATATGTTTCAATCGTCATTGTTTGTACTACTGTAAATCAAAACAAATGAGAATATACAACTTATTCTGTGAAAATATTTTTAGGAATATGATGAGTTATCTATTTGTATTTTAGAATCTTTTTCACTCTTTCTTCTCTAATGTCAGGACAAAATAAAGAATTTGTTATCTATATGTAAAATTCTAAGTATTTTCACTTTTGATTTCTCTTCTTCTACTATAATCCCTAAGTGCTTTTTAAGAGAATAAATCTACATCAATTTCTATATCGTTTCTTTAGAAATACTAGTGATGGACATGAATACAAGTATTATTTTTTATCTTTGAAGTCTATATCTACTATCACCATATTATCAAACACTAATTCACATAAAATTAGCATATTTTGAATTTTTATAAATAGAAATGACTATGCATATCAGAGGCAGAGAAGAAAACGAAAACAACGTATTGTTCATTTACATTTTTGAGGATTCGAATTATTTAGTAAATTTGCAATAACACGTGAACATAAAAAGGATTTATTAGGTAGAAATCGTAAGCAAAAAACTACTCAGGACGAGTGATCCAGCATTCAGATCCGTCGGATCCATTCGATCTGGGCAACGAATGAATCAAATTAAGCAGTATTTCAAAAAGTATCTAGTACTTACGGATACTTAACGCTGATACTAAATATCAAATCACTGCTAAGCATAGAACTGCAATAATAGAAGAAGTTTCTTCTACGATTATCTAACGAAGTTCAACATAAACAAATAGATATAGTGAGACGTTTTTTTAGACAAATTACTCTCATCTTTATAATATGAATACTCTTTCTCACTATACTAATTATTTAATATATAAATATCTGCTAAAACACACGAATGTTTAAATATATTTGTGACAATAACTGTAGAAAGACTCTAAGTAAAAAGAATGTGTTATGAAACAGAGACCGACGGTATGCGGTACCAACACCGTACCGTACCGTACCGTCTCGTCCCGGTACGGTACGGTATAGGAAAAAAAAGAAGTAAGGCGGTACGGTACGGTACGGTATGGATAAGCCACGGTACGGTACAGTATGCGGTATTAAATGGCTATACCGCACTCCCGCGCCATAGTCAGAAGAAGCCTTCTAACAATGATTTTCGAGGATATGTATCATAGTTTTTTCATTCGCGTTTAAATCTCGACAGGAATTCAATAAAACTAAATATTTCTCCCTCTTTTATTCTCATCTCTTATATTTCTTGTTCTGTTATCAAAAACGAACGAAAATTAATTCCATCCTAATACATCAGATTACGATGTCAGTGAACTATCATCATTGTCGTATATTTACAACCAATTGATATCAACAAATGCTGTAAGAGAAAGTTTATCATCACCAACCTTTTGCTTTNGTATGCTCAGAACCTGCGCGGTAACGGTACGGTACGGTATCAGATAATTATCAGGCGAGACGGTACGGTACGGTATGGAACTAAAGAAGACGGTACGCGGTACGAGACGGTATTAAAATTTTGCAATACCGTCGGTCTCTGTTATGAAATGCGAAAGTAAAATGCAATTTCGTTTTTTCTCTCTTTTTCATTCTGTCTCTTCTCTCCCTCTTGTATGGGTAGCATTATTATCGAATTGTGTGTGTCTCTTGATCTTTTCTTGGTTCATGTAAACAAAAAGACGGCACTGTCGATAAGGTTATATATCTTCGTGTTCTCGCTAAAGATTCTTTTCCATAACAAAGTGTTGAATATTTTAAATGCAATATTATTATCGAAAAAGACTTTCTGCTCGGCATAAAAAAGTTATATTCATTATGTTTCATCCATTTATCATATTCTTCAAACAAATATTAGCGGTTGTGTTCGTATTCCAATAATATATATTTTAGTTAAATAAGAAGAAATGAAAGATCTTAATAAAAACAAACGAAATGAACATTTTAGATAATATTTATATTAATCCTTTTCAAATGATTGAAAAAGCATATCTGATTGTGATGTGAGTGCAGATTGTTTAATATACTACAACCCTCACTCTCATCCACACCTTACACACCCAAAGTTAGAATCACTTCACGGCTGTTGATATTCCTCCCATGTTGAATTAACAAAGATATAAAGCCTTGCTCTATATTTCAATTGGTTCGCTTAATAAAACACACATAAGAACAACGTATAAAAAATATTGCGTAGTATAAAATCAACATTGCAAATTCATAACGATACAACGTGCCATGACAATAGTTTCGACGTTGATTATTTGGGTTATCGAACTGAACGTAACCTACGATAGTAAATGTAAAAAAAGTACCCAAAAAAATACATATGAATATAACCAATTGCTCCATCATAACAACTAAGTTCTTTATGTAGAATGCGGCTGTAGCAAGTTTCACAGACCATTTGTTAGATAAGATCCAGCTCAGAAGGGGAATTAAAACGATTGTAGAACAGGTCAACGCACCATGAACGATCATAATTGAAGGAATACTATTCTGAACAGGACACTGTGATTCATACATCTTGCCCATAACTAGCATGGGTACAGAATATAGAACATTTTCCAGAAGCCAAAAGAGATGAGCATGTAAATTATCATGAGGATTTCCGTAGGGGGCGAACCTACAATGAAATTAAGTTTTTCAGCGCAAATAAGAATTCGTTTTTTTTAAAGTTATTTACAAAAGAAAAGCATAATACGAAGTATCCACGTAAACTGAAAACAGTTTCATACTTCAATCGAATTACGATTTAAAGTTATAAACGTCGATCTCATTTCACGATATTTTTCACATAAAGTGTTATCCGATTCAATATTACTAATTCTAACTGTATAAGAGTTCTTCCAATGCGACAGTCATGTACAGTTAATTTCATTAATCAGATTCGATTCGAAGTTCTAAATACGTAGACTCATGGAGTAGCTGTGATCAGAATATGAGTGAGGATTAATTTCTCAGTCTATCTTCCGATCCATAACTACAGTCACTTCCTCACATATCCATTCCAACTTCACATCCATACTTATCCTCTAGATGTGATGTCAACCATTTTGGTCATACAGTCCAAATGAAGAATTCGCGTCATTTTTCATGATATACTTATACATATTTACCGAAAGTTACTTAACATTATTAAAATGTGCATTATTCAATGGAACTGGCTAATTCCAAAAAATCACGACTAAAACTATTATATTTAAGACGACAGATTATGTATACGAGCTGACATATCCTCTTTTCTATATCCTCATGAATATACGATATGTTTATAGTTCTCCTCTTATAAGTATAGATTAACAAATATATCGTTATAGATGTATGCTTTTACTATATAGTATATATATATATACTCACTACTATTCAATTAAACTTATATTTTTTACAAATTCATTTTTATAATTGTAAAAGTTCTCAGATGAACGTTTTACTATTATGAGTGCGATAGTTTTGATGTGAATTTAAGATTATTTATTTGTATACGTGCTGTTACTGTAAGTGAATACGCACCCGAACTTCTGTTCTCGTACATCACTCATACGTTTGTCTATTATACAGATGAATGTTTTATATATTGAGTTTTCGAACTCAAAAGATGTTTTCATCTATTATGTATGATAGTTGATGATCATATATGATGTATAGAATATCCACAAGTATGTATCGTTCTTGATGGGAATTTGATCTGATCTGACAAGATGTCTTTACAAACTCATGAATTTGTAATCATGTAAATCGAGAAGAAGAAAATCTTAGAAGAATTTTTCTCGTATTTTTTTAAGTATTATATTAGATCGTGCAATAAGGATACCGATACGATATCGAAAGATCTGATGATGATGAGATAATGCATATTTGACTTCATGTCGCATTAACTTAACTGAGTTATTGAGCTGTGTCATCGAGAGAAGAGAAAGAAGAAGCGACGATAAAAATAATACCATAGAATCATTATCGTCAGATTCATTACCTAAGTCAACATATGATCTTATTTGAGACTGACCTGTAAAATCGACTTATTTTGGCAATTGGTTTTGGTGCTGGTAATGTGGGTAAATCTCCAATATTGATAAAGTATGGGGCATCTTCGGCAGTACTCTCCATTATAATATATTCAATATGTATAGGCAAACGAAGTGTCACATATGAAAAATACATTTTGGTACTTTTATTTCCTTTCTACTCTTCATATAAAATCATCGTACAGATATGCCATCTGATGTGTTTATTTTTATTGAGAAATGACTAATATTTACGCTCTCCATGATTTTACACATCACTGGTTTTTTAAATAAAAATGCAATTAATAATAAATACACAAAAAAGGAAGAGACAAGTTGTGCACCTGTATAGATAGACGAGAATGTGACATAAATGAGAAAGGAATAAATCAGGAATATATTTTCTTCATCTTAATAGTTGAGAACAAAATCTGCAACTAGATATCGTTAATTTTCACCACCGTCAACATATCCTTCTCGTTCATGTAACAATTCATAATTTTTGATAGGTAAAGATTTTTTCAAATCAACTTTGATATTAACACACTTGTCAAGTCTTTTTCACGAGCTTTTGAGAGAGCAGCGTTTTCTAGAATATAACAGTTGAAGATATATTTATTGCAAGTTGAAACTCTATAATTTTTATCAAATATTTCAATTTTGTGTAAAAACCTCGTAGTCGAATCGATGTTTTGTGCATTCTTCGACTTGTTCCAGATGATTTCTCTAACACTGATAACATTATGATACTAATGATCAATAATCAATTTTAGATTATTTTTCTGATTATATTCTCATGTTGAGCATAATAAAACTATTTCGTCGAAAAAAGTCATTACAATTTCGAGAACAGACTAATCAACCGGTCATTGAACTGATCCATCGTAATTTTACTAATAACTCAGGTAATACATTTACTGCAACTGTGCTGAATAATCTTCCTGAAATCATTCCAAACAAGACAAAACATCGCGTGACTCTTGTTTGGTTCGATCCTAACTGTTCTAACGATGATACAATTGTCGACGTACGTGTGTCGAAGCAAACTCTTGCTGCAGCGATTACTGATGCTTCATTTATTTGTTTCTCAAACAAAGACGAATGCGTATCTTTTTTACGAGAACATCAAGATACTGCTGAGATTATTTTTCTAATTGTATCTGGACAGAGTTCAATTGATTTACTCGATGATGTTGACTTATCGTTAACAAAACCTGTCGATTCAATATTTATATTTTGTTTAAGAAAGGAAATATACGAACCATTACTTCTCTATAGAAAACAAATTGTTGGTATTTATCAAGAACATAACGAATTAATTGAAGCTATTCAACATCAAATACGTGCATTGTCACAACGAGATTTAATTGTTACATTTCAGAAAGAAAATGGAAAGAATGGTTATCTCGTTCCCTTAGAAGTACAAGCAAAATTGATTTGGATGCGTCTATTAAAGGAGACTCTTCTTCTTATACCACAAACCGATGCGAGAATAAAGATGATGCACAATCGATTTTTCATAATGTATCGAAATGATCCTGCTTCACTGCAACAAATCAATAACTTTATAGACAATTACCAACCAGAAGATGCAATTCCATGGTATACAAAAGATTGTTTCTTATTTCGTCATATCAATTCTGCGATGCGAACAGAAAATATCAACGAAATTTTTGTATGTCTACCCTATATAGCTGACTTATGCGAAGCAATTCAAATTATGAAAAATTCTGTTTTCGATGCAACAATCTTTTATCGTGGATGTGTCCTGTATAATGAGGAAATTACTGGCTATCGAGACAATGTTGGTTCTCTTATGGGAATTAACACGTTCTTTTCAGCATCTCGAGACCGAGAGATATCGAAGATTTTTGCTGGTTGCGGTAGTTTGGAGCAAAATACAGCATTGATCTCTGTCATTTTTGAAATTCATGTTGATCAAAATTCATCGACCGTTTTCACGGATATCAGCACACTTAGTAATCATCCAGAGGAGAACGAAGTGCTATTTGATTGGAATTCAATCTTTCGAATCCGAAGTGTAATTTATAATGATAACGATAAGTGTTGGATTGTCGATCTGATTACCGACTATGAAGTACAACTGGAAATAGAGGAAATGTATCAACAACTTAATGATACGAATACGTCAAATCAACCATCGCTTTCAATCATTCAGCATTTGATTTCTATGGGTGAATATAAACAAGCGTATGATTATTCGACGCTTTTACTAGAAGAGAACCTTTGGGATCCACTTTTTCTTAGCTACCATGCACAGGTGTGTTATTACGAATGTGATTACAATACAGCAGTTAAATACTTGAAAACAGCAGAATCAATGATCGATGATAGTGGTTCTTTTGAAAATCGAATCTGTTCAACAACAATCTTGAGCATAATGAGCGATATTCTTAAGAGTTTAGGTGAAAACACACTGGCCGAGCAATATAAGAACAGTATCCTCAGTGATATAAAATCCACATTTTATTCTATGAGATTGACGACGCCAATCCAAAAATTTATCCCGATGTTCATGGAGGAAAGCAATCCATTGTTAAATTCAAAATCACGCGTAGAACTTGTTTCAAAACTTCAAGACATTTCTAGATATAGATCGCTTCCCGTTATTCTAACCGAGTATGCTTACAATCTACTATTGGATGGCAAATATGATGAATCTTTGATTGAATTACAAAAAGCTGAGCTTGAAGCTGTTAAGCTAATAACAGCTGACAGTCCCTTTCGATTTCATTTACACATGTTGTTTTCGTCGACTTACATACATCTTAATAATTTGAATAAAGCTAAAGAACACCTCGATATTTCATATAAAATCCTTGCAAATAATAATTCTCGTTCATCTCCGAGTTTACTGACTAGTTATCATATATTATTTGCATTAGTCTGTCTTCTTAATGATCAAGATCAACAAGTGTTGGATTTACAATTATCACGTGCACGAACTGCTTTTCTAAAAACAAATGGTTTTATTAATATGTACATGATACCACTTGCTCTCTGGAATATCTGTCATCTACATAAACAACTTGTTAAAAGATCGAGAAATCAAATAAATCGTGTTCAATTAGAAAAATTAATGGAAGAATCTTTTAAATTATGTGAATTTGACAAAATCTTATATGGTAAAAGCAATGATAATGTGCATCGACATCTATTCGATTATGCACAGCAAATCAAATCAACTCGATTCCAATCAATAGAATGATCAATACTAAATCAATTTCAATGCAATTAACCAAAACTCTATAATGATTTTCAAATTATAAAATAATAACTAAAGTCAACTAAAAGAATTATTTCAATTCTAAATTTTAACGAGAGATGTAAATTGAAATTCATAATAAGGGTAGCATGAATTTCGTAGTAATGACTTTCGCCCGTAGACTGTTTCTTATCGTTATAAGAATATTTGTTTTATCTGATTGCAGCCCTCACCTACACCCTCACAGAAAACCGCTTTAGTTCTGGCAGACTTTAGCAAAGTGTCTTTAAAATTTCTCCCAGAAACTTTCTGTGGAAATGGCAGAAAGTCGAACGCATTTTCGAATCTTCGGGGAGGAGTGGGCTGCCTCCCCCTCCCCCTAATTGGGAACCCTGATTCAAAGTATCAAAAGACAAAGTATCACAAAAAATCGTTGTTTGATTATTTCTACTCAATGATCCTTTCTTTTTATTGGTCTATTTCATTTTCTTATCAAAGCTTCTATGCATATCAATATCAAACAGTAAGTCGCTTTTGTCTTATTTCACATTGATATGGGTTGATCGAATAAAAACCATCTTACAATTGAAATAGGAATCAGACTATTGAAAACGTGTTATGCAGATATATGAACAGAG